TCCTTCCTTCCTTCCTTCCTTCCTTCCTTCCTTCCTTCCTTTTCCACGCTGAGACTTCTGTCAGGACAAGACAGAAAACACTACACTAAAACCAGAACAGCTACAGATGAATTTAGGCGGCCTCTGTAATGGGCTTGTGATGAGGAAATATCCTCCAAAAGGCCATGGGGGTGTGGGGCACTTCTAAGCCACCACTAGCAAACTGTGTGACACAGGCCCATCTATCAAACCTAGCTAGTTGTAGTAGTGGTGGCTGCTCTTGCCTCTGGGGGTTATAATCTTGTTTTTGGCTGTAAGGTCACCATATGACTTTATCATTCTTTTGCTGATTTTACTATGAGGTTCTACTGAGACGGTATTGCTTGAGCCAGCCAGAGTCTGGTGAAGTGGGTGGCAGACAAATGGTGGAAAATAGGTGAGTAAATAGGGAACTAGGCGTCCAGTGATACATTTCTGTATTTTTTTTCTTCTGTTGAAGCACGGCAGTACACAGGTCCCAACCAAAGTTCTTTCAGAGCAGCAGGGCAGCACGTCCTTCCCTGCCCCAGATGAAGATCTTGTCTAACAGGCCTTGAAAGCCTCTTTAGACAGGTCCTCATCAAGGTTTAGGGAAGGACTAGAAATGGAAATAAAACCATGTCACTGAGGGATCCAGCCTGAGTTCTCCATCTCAGTGGGATCCGTAGCAAGTGGCTCTCTTCCACTGGAAAAGGAGAAGCCCTCTGCGGTATGTGGAAGGTCAGAGCAGCCAGTGCAAAACGAATGCCGCCGGGTCTGGCTCTCCGGCATAATCTCTTTCCCGGAGATTAGGGCTTTTGCCCGGGGAAACCTTCTTCATGCTGTTCCAGCCCATCCTTCAGGGCGCAGCTTCTTCCCTGGGGCTCCAGAACTGAATCCTGGGGAGGGGCAGGCATTGCTTGTCTCTGAAGGGGGGCTTGTGTGTCTGCCCGGCTGTCGCACGCTTCAAAGGGATCTGCAAGACAGGGCTTCGGTGTGTGCTAGAGGGGCTGTACTCGCACGAGGTCTGTGGCACATCGTCACAGGGTGCACGGCCCTTGCGCAAGGACACTTTGTGGTACAACAGCCACCATCTCTCGCCCTGCAGCTACTGCCATGCCATTCTGGCGCTCTCCCCGAAGATCACGCAAAAGTATGCTGTGTGGAGGGTGGGCAGCAGAGGAGGAGATGCAGGATGCGGAATGAACGGAGCAGGGAGCAAAAGCAGCCCTCTTCTCGCCCGGAGGACACTGGGGTTGCTTCCGAGGCCAGGTCCCTGCTGCCTCTCCTTACTGTTTCCTGGGGCCTTGGGCTGGGCTGCCAACCTTGCGGCTCTTGCTGGGAGCAAATGGTGCTTGCTAACCCTGCTGAGAATTGCTGCTGCTGCTGCTGCTGCTGCTGCTGCTGCTGCT